GTGGTTTTGAAGACATTTCTGTTTTTTCTTTCATTAAAAAATGTTTTTTCAATTACAGTTTACATTTAATATTATTTTGTATTAGTTTCAGGTGTACAACGTAGTGGTTAAACAATCATATATTAGGTGTTCCCTCTGAAGACACTTCTTTTAAGGTTATTTTGGGATATTTACAAGTGTCTATTGTTTGGTATTGAAAATGAAGAGGAGTTGGAGAGAGAGCAGCCTAGGTTTTTAGAACTACATTCAAGTCAAGTTCTAACTTGCTGTGTAGCCTGAGATAAGTAATTTTACGTCTTCGGGCTTAGTTTATCTATGAAATAAAGTAGTAGTTAGACTACATTTTCTGATTTTTTTTTAATTAGTTCTATTATAATCCTTTTTTTTTTTTTTTTTAAGAGAGATCTCCTTTTGTAATATTTTAAAGAACCTAATACACCTGTGTTATTACAAAATTGAATATCAACTCATGCAATTTAATAATCATGATCCATTGTGGGGAAAACAAATAGATTTAAGTGACAAAAATAAGTTCTGAATAAGACTATAACACAAGGTTTCTTAGTTTCTAATTTGTCATTCTTGCAACAGGATCTAGTTGTATGCACTTTGCCCTAAATAATACTAAGAGAATGGCTCTCTTGACCTCCAATTTCTCTGCTATAATTCTCTCACTGTCATCTAAGCCCTGAGCAGACACTGTCAAATCTTTAAGCATAGGATTTAGAACAGATGGTCACAACCAATAGAGGTTACCAATGTATTCTGTGTTCAAACAAGTGCAGATCTCCATGGTGTAGTATCAGTTGGATATTTGGAATTAGTGTTAGCTCTGGTCACTTTCATTAATGCTCATATTTAGCTGGGATGAATTTTGTCATTTAGCTGGGATGAATTCATTTTACAGAACACTGCACACAGACCTTCGATGTTTGCTTAGGCTGCTGAGGGCAATGTTGTATGGCTTCATGAGTGTCCCATGACTGTCCATGGGTCTTTAAAAAATGAACTTCTCATCAATGTGGATATTCACTACACCTAACACTTGGACAGCCTGATTTTATTTTATTTTATTGAGGCAAACATATGGATCATGCAGGTAATGGATTGTTTTTAAATATGTAACTATATCTTAATATAATCACAGCCACTCTACTAAATATTGAGCAATCAACCTGGGGAAATGTTGATGCTTTTAAAAAATTATATTTAAGTATTGGAGGGGTAGGCATAACCTGTAATTGAAATGCAAGGCACTTTAAGAAATGCAGGGCTACCCTTGTGTGCAGTGCTGGTGGGAATGTAAAATGGTATAGCTGCTAGAGAAAATGGTTTGGCAGTTCCTCGAAATATTAAACAAAATTACCATCCAGCAATTCCATTCCCAGGTATATGCTCAAAAGAATTGAAAGCAGGGAACTCAAATAGATACTTGTAGACCCATTTTCATAGCAGTATCTACAATAGCCAAAAGGTGGAAACAACACAAATGTGCAACAGAAGAAAGGATAAATAAAATGTGGTGTATATACACACAATGAAATATTATTCAGCCTTAAAAAGGAATGAAATTCTGACACATCTTACCACCTGGATGAACCTTAAAAATATTATGCTGCCCTGGCTGTTTGGCTCGTAATAGGAGTACTGTCCTGTGCACCAAAGGTTCTGTGTTCGATTTCTGGTCAGGGCGCATACCTAGGTTTCAGGTTCGATCCCTGTCCCGGTTTGTACGGGAGGAAACCTATTGATGTTTCTCTCTTTGTCTCTGTCTCTTTCTCTCTCTCTCCCCCTCCCTTTCTCTCTCTCTAAGATCAATAAAAACATATCCTTAGGTGAGGGTTAAAAAAAAATTATGCGCCCTGCTGGGTGTGGCTCAGCGGTTGAGCATTGACCTAGGATCCAGGAGACTGAGGTTTGATTCCCAGTCAGGGCACATGCCCGGGTTGTGGGCTCGATCCCCAGCTGGGGGCCTGCAGGAGGCAGCTGATCAATGATGACTCTCTCATCATTTTTTTTTTTTATATAATATATCTTCGTTGATTTCAGAGCGGGGGGGGGAGAGAGAGAGAGAAACATCAATGATGAGAGAGTCATTGATCAGCTGCCTCCTGCATGCCCCCGACTGGGGGTGGAGCCTGCAACCCAGGCATGTGCCCTGACGGGGAATCAAATCTCAATCTCTTAGGTCCTAGGTGGGTGCTCAACCTCTGAACCACGCCTGACTGGGTGAATGTCTCATCATTGATGTTTCTCTCTCTCTCTCTCTCTCTCTCCTTCTCCCTTCCTCTTTCCGAAATCAATAAAGATGTATTTTAAAATAAATAAATAAAATAAAAGAAAGATATATTTTTAAAAAATTATGCAAGTGAAATAAGCCATACACAAAAGAACAAATATTGGGTGTGATACTACTTATATGAGATACCTAGAATAGGCAAATTTATAGAGATGAAAGTAGAATATAAGTTAGCAATGACTAGGAGACAAACGAGGAGTTACTGTTTGACAGGTGCAGAGTGTCTGGGGCATTGTAACTGTACTTAATGCTACTAAATTATACACTTAAAAATGGTTAAAATGGCAAATTTTGTGTTATAGTATTTTACCACACACACAAAAATAATCTCCAAAGGAAAAGAAATGTAGGGTTTGCACCTATTTTTAGGGAAACATCTTCCACTCATTTTCAAATTTTGTGTTTGATCCTGTTTTTCTACCTATTTCATGATTGCTCCATTCCCCACAGAGAGTTTCTTAGTGTGGTCTCCCTGCACGGGTGTGGTTAGGTCAGAATCCACTGGTTTTGCTACAAGTAGGCTTCTTACATTTGTTAAAAATTTTGAGGGTGGCTGGGTGAGGGAGAAGTAGTTTTTAATGGAAAAACAATGCACATTGGAGTTCCCATTCCAACCTAGAAAGCATGCTTTTGTGGCAAACCGAAAGGCTAGGAATCAAGGGTGATGAAATACAGGCCTCCTGGCCCTCCCGGTTTCTGGTTGTGGGAATCTGTTCTAAATCCAACTGCAAGTGGAAAACCCATCTTTGGCTTAGCAGCCAGGGAGGCCCTCCGCCAATCCCCCAAATGGGCTGCTGAAACCTTGGCCCTGTGAGGATGGAGCTGAGGCTGTCTTCCCAAGGTCGCTGCAGCCATCAAGGTGGCTGTGATGGGGCTGTGACCAGCCTGTGCACCGAGTTTTGGCAGTGACCTTGAGACTTGCCAGCTCACAGCAGCTGTACCGATTCTTGCTCTACTGCCACTATCGCATGGCCAGAGAGTTCCAGGGCGGGAGCTAAACTCCTCTGGCTCTGCCATTTAGAGGATCTGGCAAGTTCCAACTATGGGGCTCAGTTCTCCCAGCACCTACCACCCAGTGGGCACAGGGTGCAGTCCCGGTGTGTGCATGTGGGTGGCTGCTTGTTCCACTTCTGGCTCAGGTCCCAGTCCCTGGGAAGTGGGTAGCTGTCTGACCATCAGCGTGGCGTGCAGACAGGCTCCACGTGGGGAAAGATGCTCAGTGACAGTTGATGGTCTTGGGAGACTGAGGAGCCGAAGGTGCTGCTTTGTCCCACAGGTATGAGGGAGAGCTTTCTTTGGGAAATGAAGGTCACCAGAAATGCCCAGAACAAGAGAGGGAATCTTTCTCTCTCCGGCCACATAGAGTGGCAAGTGTATTTCGAAAACTCCTCCCCTCTCTCCGTGCCCTCATCATGCCCTTTGCCTTTTAAGTGGCTTTATTTATTTATTTTTTTTAATCCGCCTTTGTCATTGGACATTTATTGACAGAAATCAAATTGCTGTGTTTCTGGGCAAAGCGCCTGCTGCAAAGAGGTGTGGTTCCGGAGGAATGAGACACTCAGCCCAACAGCTGAGCCTCCACTGTCCTCACATAACCTCCCTGCCTTAAATATCGCCAATATTTAGCCTTGCCTTATAAAGTAAAAATGCACAATACCTTCCAGTTTCAGCAAGCCCAAGTGCCTTCCCCCCCCAGCTCAGCTATATCTTCTGTATGTTGGAGGCAGGGCTGCGCCGCACACTCCCCCCCCTTCCCCACCGCAGACCTGCCCTGGCAGCCACCGAGAGGTTACTAATCAGGGAGGCTCCGCCATTGATCCGATGGCGGAGACCTGGGGGATTGGTGTGCATTGTTTTTGCAGAAGCCTCCTGTGAATTCGTTGCGACCAGATCCTCTGCAGCGAACTCCATGTCGCAGCTTGTGGCTGCCTGTGTCCTGTGGTGAGAGCAGAGCCGCACAGGAGATCCTTTGTCTGGGAAGGCTAGGCAGAGAAGATCACTTTGGAGTTGCTAAGCTCTGCACTGCCATTGGCTGCACTCTTTGTGGGGCTGTTTTTGCAAAAGGCATGCCCAGCACGTCTACAGTGCTGGCAGGCCAGGGCTGCCTTTAAACACCATGATAATAATACCAAAAAGCAGTTTGCAGAAGTGTTCCACTGTAGAGGCTTCCTCTGCAGGAGCGAGCAAGATGGCTACCTCGTGGGCTTCGCCGTGAAGAATGCAGAGGCTAATTAAGACAGACTTTCAGGGGAAGAAAGGGTATTTCCCTACTTCATCTTTATGCAAGCTTTTTTTTTTTTTTTTTT